ACCATTGTATTTGTTTGTTTTTTCCTTTTTTTTTTTTTTTTTTTTTTTTTTAAAGTTAGCTGTCCTCATCACCAAAGCAAAGGTCTAATCAAAAGAAAGCACTTGCTGCAAGCACTTGCATTTTCCCCACTGAAAACAAAGAGTTTTTTTCTGTCTTGCAGACTTCTTTACACTTTATTTTAGAAGTTAACTGCTGCAGCACAGAGCAGTGAGAGCACTCCTTGAATACAAAGCACAGCGTGACCCCTCTGCTCAGGCAGGTTTGGAACCGCTTTGAGGACGGAAACCAGAAGTCAGTGTGGGTTTTTACCTGCGGACACGGCCCCTGAACTCCGCGTCTCCAGGAGACACAGGAGCTCCCTCCCTTCACACAAGCAATGCTGACAGGGCAGGGCTTGCACCAAACGTGTTCCAAACACCAGGTAATCCTTTATCATGCAGGCCAGTCGCGTCCTGTTTCAGGTGGCTCAGGAAGGACAGCTCTTGCCCACCACAAAGAAGGGACAAGGTCACCACCTTCGCCTTCCGAAGCGCACGGCGACGGGCAGCGGGGGCTCACGCCCGTCTGCACGCCCAGCAGCAGCGCTGCCTGTTACCCGCCCGTTTCAACCACCGCTCCGACTCGCGCAAAGCCACTTGGAGATTCAGGAACTTCTTCGACGAGGATTTCTGACCCAGCGCTTCTCCGTCCCTCCGGCCCCCTCGCTACCCGGCAGGAATTTGACTCGAGCCCCGGGTGACCGCGAAGGACCTTGCTTTCGAGTGACCCGGCAGGTTCCACAGCAAGCAGCAGAGCAGCTCCAGATCTATATTTCACCTACCTGCACGCACGCCCAGGGAAGGAGAAGCAGAGGAGGAGCTCCACGAACCCTTCACCGAGCCCTGGCCAAGGCATGACAGCATCGCACCGGCTGACAGCTACCTCTGCTACTTCACGGAACCCACAGAGCTGTTAATTACTGTTTTTGCCCAGCAAACTGGGAGTGCTGGAGACCCAGGACACTCCCCGCACCT